AATGACTTGTATCACAGTAAAGATGTTTCAATAATACATGTATCATGGGAAAGATTTTGGTTAAAAATGTCTTGTATTGTGGTAAAGATGCTGGTTAAAATGACTGATACTGAGTTAAGATTTTGGTTAAAATTTACTTGTATTGTGGTAAAGATTTAGGTTAAAAATTACTTGCATTGTGGTAAATATTTTAGTTTAAAATCACTTACATCACAGTAAAGATTTTGATCGCCCACCTCTAAATAATTTAAACAGGGAGCTGACTCAACACCTTCACCTGTTGCTGTTCTAGTATAGTAGAGAAGCAACAGAGGAGATGGGATGGAGTTCAGACATCAGTCAACCACATGTTCCAGTGTTTAATATTCCCCCAGTGTCTCTGGATGCAGGCCCAGCTCTCCCACATCAGGATTAGCCGCTGTGTGTGGAGCTCATAGGTGACATTCCCCTCCGAAACTCACCCAAACCAGACGTTACACCGCTAAAGCAGGAGCTCCTGACTTCTGGCCCGTGTAGACGCAAACATCACAACTGCGAAGGAGAATCTCGGGATTAGCGTCGGCAGGCCAGTTTTAAAGCGATTTGCCGGGCATTACTTATAACCTAGCGGTGAATGTGTGCGGTAGCTGACTGTGTTTATAATTCCAAATGTCAACTGTCAAGCCCCCGATGTTCAATTTTAGTTACAGTTCCACTTCAGCGACGAGGGTGGGTGATTTATGCATCATTTTTTGATAATTGCCGAGCACCTCGCAAGGGTACCGGTACGGACCAGAAACCATTAAGGCCGATATGCTTGAATAACATTATTCATGGCTCGGTAAATAAGCTGACATCAAGAAAGATGTGATACATTATTAATGCAGTGATTAAAGATGGGGATACCTAGGTTTGATGGATTCCATCAAAGGTTGTTGTCATGGCAATGCCACCGAATTGCACACACACACAGCTGGATATAGCCTCCAGACCCGGAAACACTGAATCTGACAGCACCAGTGATATTGGCATTCCTGTGGGCAAAGATTGAGAGAGGTGAAAACACACACACACACACACACACACCAACTAAGATAATCCGCAGGCAAACAGGCGTTTGCCAACAGTGCAACCCAGCTGTGTCTAAGATCCGTGTCTGAGAGAAACCTTTGAGCAAACCGTTTCTGAAGGAAGTCTAGATCAGCGTTGCTTAAAGCTTTTTATTCCCAGAAGCGGCACTCCTGCGAGCAAGCGGCTGGATCTTTTCTGTCAACGTTACTGCTGTTTAACCCGCTAAAGCGTTTCCACAAACAGCCTCAGTGCTGCCAAGTACTGTGGATCGCTCTTCTGTAGGTGCATTAAGCCTGTAGGAAAGAAATATCACAAATGTAACAGGAAGTGTTCATGCAAAAGTGAGAAATCTTTATTTACTCACCTTCATGCTGGTGTATTTTTCAGACTAGGGTGACTTTAATGGGGAAGTCGTGGCCTAATGGTTAGAGAGTTGGACTCGCAACCCAAAGGTTGTGGGTTCGAGTCTCGTACCGGCAGGGATTGTAGGTGGGGGGAGTGAATGTACAGCGCTCTCTTCCACCTTCAATACCACGACTGAGGTGCCCTTGAGCAAGGCACCGAACCCCCAACTGCTCCCCGGGCGCCGCAGCATAAATGGCTGCCCACTGCTCTGGGTGTGTGTTCACTGCTGTGTGTGTGCACTTTGGATGGGTGCAACCTGAAATTGAACTTCCATACTTGGCCACATGTCCCGTCACTTTCACACTAAACAGAAATTTCATTTCTTAAAATTATTAAATTGAGTTCAAATGGAGAGCAAGTGGAGAAATAGAAAACTGAGGTCTCCTGCTTCTCACATTTTCTTTCTCGTGTTTTAATAGAGATCCAAGTATGGGTAGTCTCAGGTTATCTCATAACAGACCACAGGAACCAGATGAGTCCTCTGCACAATCTGACTTTGCTGCAACCTGAAATTGAACTGCTGGTTTTGTCTGGTCAGAGGAGAACTGGCCCCCCGACTGAGCCTGGTTTCTCCCAAGTTTTTTTCTCCATTCTGTCACCGATGGAGTTTTGGTTCCTTGCCGCTGTCGCCTCTGGCTTGCTTAGTTGTGGACACTTCATTTCCAGCGAAATCGTCGACTTGATTGCACAGACACTATTTAAACTGAACTGAGCTGGATGAAGACATCACTGAATCAATGATGAACTGCCTTTAACAGAAAATTTATAAGTTTACTGTTGCCTTTATGCATTATTGACACACTATTTTCCTATTTAATGCTGTAAAGTTGCTTTGACACAATCTGTATTGTTAAAAGCGCTATATAAATAAAGGTGACTTGACTTGACTAACATGTGGTCGGCAAAATATAAAACGGATTAGAAAAAAAGGTTCCAAAACATTCCAAAATGTTAATTTGTCCACCTACACCTACATCTTTTAAAAGATCCACCTACAAACATGTACTGGGTTATAAAAAGTTTTTTTTTTTAAATTTGCTATTTTTATTTGAAAAGAAAAAAAGCTCACCAAGGCTCCATTTACTTGATCAGAAATAATAAACAATACAGTGAAAAAAAGTACTATTATAAAACGTTATTACATTTTAAAATAACCATGTTTTATTTTAATATATTGTAAAATGTAATTTATTCTATCTTTATTTATTACTCCAGTCTTCAGTGTCACATGTTCCTTCAGAAAGCATTCGCATATGCTGATTTGCTACTTAAGAAACATTTTTGATTATTAGTTGATTTTGTGGAAAATATTATTTTTCTTCAGAATTCTTTGATGAATAGAAATAAAAAAAACAGCATTTATTTGAAATGCATATCTTTTGTATATAAATGCTTTCTGCTTCAGTTTTGATCAATTTAATGCATTAATGCAAAATTGGATTGAACCCAAATTTAGCGAGCTTGAAAAATCTTGAAAAAAAAGTGCATTCAGCTCAAGATGTCATGTTTGTAGTGAGATTGCAATTTGAAGTATATTTGAAAGCCGTTTTTTTGCTTTTTTGTGTGTTATCACAAGTGGTTACAGGACTGCAAACTCGCAATTGCTCAGATAGTAGGAAATCTCCTTATTTACATTACAAAATTCACCAACATGTCAGGGGCCATGATTAATTGCAAGAAAGCATGTTTTTCCTTTTTCATTATTGTTAATCACACTAAATTAACTTGTTAAATAGACAGGCCTTTCATCCTGCCGCTCATACGCTGCTCAGATTTGTTTATCTTCATGTTAAAAGCCAGACTGCAGGATCCAGTCGTACGTGCTGCAGGAACACCATGAGGGGAATGTGTTCAGGCAGCAGATGGCCGTGTGTTGGCGGGAAGTGTGAATTCATGTGTGTGTATGTGTGTATGACAGAGGTGAGTCAGGGCCCTGCTGCGCTGCGACTTTGTGGTTGGATAGAGCTCTGGGTTAGTGGGTTTAATCTCTGTCCCAAATGTCACATGCACACAGAAGATGGGAAGAGAAGACGCTAGAATGGGTGTCCCTGAGATCACCCCCTCACAGGGATCTTTGCATGGTTCCTCTGGAGAAAGAAAAAAAGAGCTTTTGAGTTTGGATCACTCATAATAATAAAGAGATAACCACGCCCCCAACACATGCCATTGGTCGAGTCCAACATCACACTCTCAGAAAGAAAAAAAAAAAGATACAAAAGCTGTCACTGGAGTGGTGCATTTTAAAAGGTGCATCGTTGTACTTTTTTACTCCTAAAGGTTGCGTATTAGTACCTTAAAGAAACAGTACAACCAAAAATGAAAATCTGCTGAGAATTTACTTACCCTCAGGCCATCCAAGACGTAAATGAGATTGTTTCTTCATCAGAACAGATTTGGAGAAGTTTAGCATTACATCACATGCTCAGTTATATAGATCCTCTGCAGTGAATGGGTGCCGTCAGAATGAGATTCCAAACAGCTGATAAAAACATCACAATAATCCACACCACTCCAGTCCAACAATTAACATCTTGTGAAGTTTGTAAGAAACTAATCCATCATTAAGGTGTTTTAACATTAAACTTCTGGCCAAACTATGAGTCCATAATCCATAATAACACTTCCTTCAGTGAAAAAGTCCATCTCCTATTGTACTCTCACTTCAAAATCCACCAGCAGATTTGTTTAGAGCTGTTTCAGACTGTTTTATTATTACATATTATTATGCATTAAATACTTGAACTTATATAGAAGCAACGGTTTATAGTTAAATATACCGTAATGATCAATTTGTCTCTTACAAATACACAGTTTTTCTCTTCACAAGATGTTAACTGATGGACTGGACTGGAGTGGGGTGGATTATTGTGATGTTTTTATCAGCTGTTTGGACTCTCAATCTGACGGCACCCATTCACTGCACAGGCTCCACTGGTGAGCAAGTGATGGAATGATGTTTTTGATGAAGTAGCAAACTCATCTACACCTTGGATGGTCTGAGGGTAGATTTTCAGCAGGTTTTAATTTTTTGGGTGAACTATTCTTATATATAAAGATGCATATTAGTTCCCAAATGATACACATTAGTGCCTTTTGAAAGGGTAATGCCCCACTGAAAGCTTTTGTACCTTTTTTTCTGAGAGCAAGCAGGGAGACTTTACTAAACCTACAAGTATTTTACTTACAGTTGACTCTGCATATTAAACTGGGATTGAAAGTATTTTAACATCGAATAAACGACACACTTCACCTTTAACAATGCCCAAGGAAATCACCTCAGAGACAGAAAGCAGAACTCAAGTATTACACCTGCTCATTTAGTGCAAATGTATCTTTCTAGCACTCATTTCTTGCCAACGCTGTGCAAAATGTTTCCAATAATAAACCTTGTGAACAGATGTTCTCAATCTTCTCACCAACGTTATGTATAATCAGGTTGCTAAAATGAACTTTTTCAAGTTTGTCGGTGATATATCGCTGCTCTGCACCAGTTTAAGAGTGGTACGTTTGACATTAAACCGGTGTTCCCCTCTCTCTCTCTTCAGCTGGGAGAAGAATCCGGCAGACTTTGAGCCTTACCATCTCAAACTGGAGGAATGCATGTCTGCAGACCAGATTCCCACCACAGAGCACATCCAAGGATATGTGAAGAAAGTAAGAACCTACTGTTTAGCTTCTTTGGAGCACATAACTGAGTCATGAATATTCAAATCTGCTCACACATTAAAATGTTGCCAAACATTTCTGCCAAAACTTACTAGAGTTATCAGTTCTGCCTGAAACGTTTCTGCCCTGCTGTTTACTGCATGTAAGGTAGATATTAAATGGATTTGCTTCACTGAGCTTGTTGCAATGCACTATGGGATTGACTCCTTCATGAAGGATATATGCAGTGCCGCTTTAGAATATGGCCCGAGCCTAATTAAATCAACTCTGATATCTGTGATTGTGGTATTTATTAACTATATTCATCTCTAGCTTCATTTTAAGGTTTTTGTTTAATGATTACTACTGATCTTTTCATTTTTTATTTTTTTATTTTTTAATGACTGCAACATTTTAATTAATACCTTCTAAGGCAGTCTTTTCTGGGTTGGCTAGAGAGAGATTAAAATTGTAAATATATATATATATAT